CTACAATGCTGGTAATTTTTTACACGAAGCCTGTTGAGCTGGATAACGACGATCAAAACTGGTTTATCTGAGCGTTTTGTCAAGGTTTTTTTTTTTTAAAGGCACGCCTCCACTCCTAGCAAATTCAAATCGTGTTTGTCCATCCACACAGAAACTCTAAAATGATGCAAATACGATAGCGACCATTCAATACGCACAGGGTGTGCGCCGCTGTATAATGTATGACAACATCGTGTTCGAAAAACACTATTTTCGTTCGTCCACAAGTAAACGAGAAGCCGGCGTTTTCAAATATCTCAACTCTGCAGACCACTTTGTAAAACCTGCTTTTTTTTGGTGCCCGGAAAAAGGGAAAAAACCTCCGTCTTTATTCAGAAACACCTGAATACATGTAGACCGGGGCTAAATGTAGAATTATTATTAGTTTAGCTTATAATAACTGAGTATTACGGTCAATGGAGCGAATCTCATGACAGTTTAATCAGCCATGACTTTGTGCAATCGTACATAAAAACCTCGTACCCAGGGTTCTCTCCTACTCGTCGAAATCACTGACAACTTGTGGAAATTTTCAGGGAAACTAAACGTTAACCGTTATTTGAAACCTGAGAAACAGTTATTTAACCTTATTAACCGTTGAATGGTGCGCCCCTTTCGTAAAATAGTAGTGAAAATCAGCACATTTTACTCGCTCATAGTCCGTTATACTTAAAGAGCTGATTTACGACACGTGTTGACTTCAATTTGTGTTTCGTTCATGAATTTCAAAAGCGAGTGTCTCAGATTTTATAGTTAAATATTATTTCTGAGATAGATGTCAAAAATTTTCTGTAGAGAGTTATAAAAAGAAAAACAAACAAGAAAGCAGTTAAAATGAAACCATGTTTCTTTTAGGGCATGTAAAAATGAACGTATCTTAATTAATACGTGATTTTACATTATAGAGTCAGAAACGTATCATGCTCAAAACTGTCGTGGGAAAAAGTGATATTGGCGACTGGGTAATTTATTGTAAAAAACCAAATGTCTGAAAACAAAAGTTGGAAGTAAATGTTAAATGTGGAGTTATCCGGTAAGTCGATGAACACTGAATATGCAGCTACTACGATTTTATTTAGCGGACAAAAAAAAAAAACTTAAAGAAGAATAACATTAAAATGAATTTATTTTTCAGGTCATGTAACATATTCCTATCGAACGGTTCTTAGCAAGTTTAGGAACGACAAGTCATCAAGGGTTTCGTGTGAAACTCTATGCCGGAAAAAAATATGGAGCAACTTCAAGGAACTCCACAATAAAAAATTAGTTTTAACGTTACACTCGCTCCATTGTACAAATAGCAATTATCTTCCCTAGTAGAGTTGAAATCCACCTAATTATTAAAATACAATGAGCTACTATTTTGCCAATCATGAAATCCGAACATTCAGCAACGTTTATTTAGTTGTGCCAGCTATATAAATAATCAGAAGACTTTTGGGCGGCGTTTGTAATTTTGTTTGCCCACCTGTGCTTCAAACAAGCAATACCTATATCATCAGTCCTTTATTAACGTGCTGATTAATACAATGAATTTTAATGAGCTTGCCTTCGGCGATTTCTGCCTTAAACCAATGCGAAAAAGGAACTGCGCACACGTTTTCATCTTGACAGCAGGAAGACAGATTCGAACTCAAAATACCCTTTATTTTGGACGCTATTTAGCTTTAAGGATAAAGAATACTATTTTATGATGCTAGTTCCTTTCGTATTATTGCTCTCGGCTGCCACGGCCTGGAGTCAATCAGGTAAGTGAGGGATGCGATGATACAATCTTACCTGAACTTTCTTAACGTTCACTCTGTTGTTATTTTAACCGCCTTTACTAATTATCTACCTCTGGTACTGCAAATGACATCTATACTAAAGCAATAGTTCTAGTCTAAGACATAGCTTAAAATATATGCCTTAAAATATACACCCATGACACCAATGCGAATTCACGGAAAAACCGAAAAAAAAAAAAAATATATATATATATATATATTTATTATTTTTTTTAATTTCCGAGGGTAATGTTCTACCTTAAAGAAATACCTTTTGTTATAAAAAAAAATCGAGAAAAAAGATAGAAGCACAACTACCTAGAGGAAAAATCAATCATTGCCGATTTTCAATACCACATTTTAACCTTAAAAAATGCGGATATTTTTAATATCTTAACCAGACCAGCTTGAAAAAACTCTGGGGCCTCAATAGGATAAATTCATCCGGCAGATTAAAATAATCTATAGCAACTGACCGAGCCTGTTAACCTGGCCCTGCCAATTCAAATATCATATCACTGATTAAAGAGACATAGGCATTTTTCATGGCTTCCACTGATTGATACAATTTGATTGTATTTTTAACATGGTTAAATATAACATAATGTTACAATAAAGACAAAAAATTGTCATACGTGACAATATAATTGCGAACATAAATGCTCATTAATCTTTCTTAAATATTTCCATGGATATTAAGTTATTCTTTATTCTTCTAGTTACAATAGGTTTTTTCATACCACGAGTTGCGAGTTTTCGCCCTTTACTGATTATGCCGTGCTTTTTCGTCATAAGAGATCACTCGAGCAGGCAATTGTTTACAGCCATTTATATCTAAAATACGCTGCATGGCTTAAAAGCAGACCTGGATCATGCCCTTTCTTCCTTTATTTCCGTCACCAAAAATTATGCTTCTCTCCCGGCCCTACTTATTTCTGTATTATCTTGAAATTTCCCCGTTTATTCACATTAAGCTTTATTTTATTGGTGAAGGAAAATTCCTTTTAATTTTTTAAATGTACCAATCACAGTTCAGCTGTGATTCATCAGGCGCTGTGCTTTAAGTCTCAGAAAGTAAGATACGGACCAGTTGGACAAAAAAACAAAAAACGAAACAAAACAACAACAACAACAAAAACAAAAAACACCAAGCACCTAACGCGTATCCGGATATTTTTGAAAACGGAGATTTTTTTCTCTCCGTTTTAGGGCCTTCCGCCAACACGAAATCGGCGTTTCCGGGCACCAAAAGGGCATGTTTTAGAAACCGTTCCCAGGGAAGGAAGACATTTTGAAACCACCAGCTTCGTGTTTACTTGTGGATAGACGAAAACGGAGGTTTTCGAATGAGAAGATGTCATACATCGTATACTGCTAGTATCACGCATGCTCTGTAACCGGGATGCTATCGTATTTTTATCATTTTAGCGTTTTCCTGTGGATGGGCGAAAACAATTCATTCCTTTGCACGGCCGCGAGAAATATCCATGTCCGTTTTTCAAAAATATCTGGATACACGTGGACAGGGCCTTAATTGACCGTCGTGTATAATTACAGAGAAAAATACATAATACTGTAAAAGCTATGATAATCGTTTTATTGGGGCCAATCCACACTGTTCTTTTGAGTCCACAATCTTCAGAGTTGGATCAAAAGACGAATATAAAAAAGCATTTATTGGGCTTTATGTTTTACTAAGTATCAAAAATGATTATTCCCTGAAATACTTCTAATCCACTGCAGCCCCGCAGACCGTTTAGTGAGCATTTATTTCGATTAACCTCCCTCAAGCTTACTCCAAATATTCATTTCATGTTTTGAAAAGCTTCATAGTTAACACAATTATTTACTTGTTCTTCAGCTTGCGACGTTGAAAGGGCAGTTGGTATCGAGCTTGGAAATACTGGCCCAGTTCCCAATGACAAAATGAACGCATCAAGTGAACACAACAGGTATGTTACGTTCATCAATTATAAGGGTGATATCAACTCCCTTTTTGAGTTAACGAATAGAAAGGTTTTAAATAAATAAATTTTCGTAAATTACCAGTCAAACGAGAGTCATTTGTAAGTTTCCGGATCAACTGCAAACAATACTATTTAGTTATTGTATCCTTTTTCGTTTTTTGGGCAATTCAAAAATAGTGAGCTGTTTGTTGGATGTTTGTTTGCTTTTTTTGTCATGTTTGCTGAAGTCATTCTTAGGTAAATTTTAAATTTTTGAATCTCGCTTTTTTTTTTCTGAAAGATCTGATAAGATGGAAATGAAAGCAGAATTTTTTTTTGCAATATATGTCTCATATATTAGCTGAGATGTCGCAATTTGAATTTGGATAAATTTGTAGAACAAAAACTGGAATCGGAACTGAGACATCTTTACTGTCGAAGGTTAAAAGAAAAAAAGAAACGTTTAAAAAGAGAAATTTTCAACTGCGTAGAATCCTGGGAAACGAATTTGTGATGTCAGAAAATGTCACATAATAATTTTTTGTACTGCTTAAATTAGCGTTATTAAGTCAAAAGATGAAAATCTAAAAGCATACGATTTTAGTCCACAATGAGAGGTTTGTGGTACCAAAAAATCAGCTTATTTTGTACAAAACTGTTAAAAAAAATATTAGAGCAATCGTTTTTTTAAAAAAAACTATGGATCCGGGGGCGCACTAACTCGGCTCATACGTGTCGCATCGAAAGGCGGTTTTCGGTATTTTGCTCCTCTTCCGATGCTCTTTCAGATGATGTTAGTTTGACTCAAAAAGTAATGAAAACAATTTTCCCCATTTTGGTGAAGTTACAATTTGTACTTTAAACAAAAAAAATCAAAAAAAGTTTTCGGTCATTTATCGTTGTACATCGAGCAAGTTTGCTTAACAAATAACAAAAAACGAGAGAAATACGTATTACTAAATTTAGCACGCATGCAACATTTTTGGGGTAGTTTTGCCCCACTGTGTTAACGTAAGAGAATCACATTTGCAGTCCTCTTATTATTGCTGGTTTTCAGTGTCACGCCATCCAAAATAGATCAAAAATAAAAATCAAAACCATTCGACAGATAAAGTCCAGAATCTGGGAAATGAAAGGAGGTAAATATACAAAGGCCCTCCTCCCTCGGGGGACTGGGACTGGTGACATGGGAGAGTAAACGTGCTTCGCCGAGCTCCCTGAATCGCCGTGGAAAATTTATAGTTTTTTAATGTTGGGCAAACGCAAAAACCGGTCAAAAGCTTCCAAAGATTCTTTGCCATCTCCAGATGAAAAAAAATCGAAAGACGAGGGAAAGGCACACTCAACTGCATCAGAGACTGACGAAGTGTTCGAAGCTTTAGAAATGGCGGAAGGTGTAGGCTCGAAGCTTGAAGCTGTACTTAAGAAGTTAGAAAAGCTTGATACTATTGAAAGCCGCCTGAGTCAGATGCACACAACACTGGCAAGTATTGAAGAAAATGTAAGCAGGCTGGATTCGGAAGTGGATGATCTCAAAACAAAGTCCAAACAGCTTGGCTCAACAGTCAATGAATTGAAAGAAAGCATCCAATTTAATGAGGAGGACATATCCGACTTAAAACTTGAAAACCAAAAGTTACAACAGGATGTCTGCGAGCTCCAGAAACAACTTCTTTACATGGAGACTTACTCAAGGAGGGAAAATGTAAAATTTGTGGGGCTGCTAGAAGAGCAAGTTGACAACATGAATGGTGGTGACGAAGATCACAATGGCGCGCAAGCCAAAATAGAAGATACAAGAGAGATTATCTATAAATTTCTCGAACATCAACTAAAGATTCCAAATGCGCGACAAAAAATTGAATTCCAAAGGCTTCACCGCTTAGGAAAATCGAAAAATGGAAGCTCGCGTCCTATCATTGCACGATTTTTACGTTATGGGGATAAGGAACTAGTGATGGATCAGGCCCGGAAACATCTGAAGGACACGGAATTCCATGTCTACGAGGACATCCCAAAATTATTGTACGACTCAAGGAAAGGACAAATGAAGAAGTTGCAGAAGGCCAGAGAAAAAGGCTTTACCGCCTATTTCAGTAAAGCTCAGCCAGACAAACTGTATGTCAACGGAAAGTACATTGCCCCTGGCGAACCAATAGAGTGA